GTGACCTGGTAGTGGTATGAAGAGTGTAAACAAATATCAATAAGGAAAAAATTGGGACAGTGGGGTCTAATTCATACTAAGATCTTTTGAAATTAATAGCATAACATTGACATTTCAACTTGAATTCATAGTGCATAATGGGGGACCCTCTGTCCCCACTCCTCTTCGTGTTGGCCATCGATCTGTTGCATCACATATTGGAGAAGGCCACATCGCAAGGTCATCTTCATCCCATTGGCGGGCAGGCTATGCCGATCCGGGCTTCACTTTACGCGGATGATGCTGCTGTCTTTATTGCCCCTCTCAAGGAGGACGTCAGTTTCTTCGCCGATACTCTTAGGAGCTTTGGAGATATTTCTGGCCTGGTGACAAATTGCTCCAAAATCTTGGTGGCCCCAATTAGCTGTGACAATGTGGACCTTCCGGATATTCTTCAATCTTTTCCGGCTCAAAGAACCACCTTCCCGATGAAGTATCTTGGATTGCCATTGTCTGTGAGGCGTTTAAAGAGAATTCACTACCAGCCTCTAGAGGACAAGATTGCGGCCCATCTCACACCTTGGATGGGAAAGCATGTTGCAGCCCCTGGAAGGATGGTTCTTGTTAAGTCTGTCATCACGGCCATCGCCATCTATTACATGACGGCTCTAAATCTTCCGATTGAAGTTATGAAAAAGATTGATGCCCTCCGGCGTGCTTATTTCTGGGCTGGTTGCGACAAGGTCACGAGTGGGAAATGTAAGGTCAACTGGGACCAAGTTTGCAAGTCAAAGCTGCATGGTGGTCTTGGGATCCTAAATCTTCAAAAGTTTGCGGCTGCACTTCGTCTCCGTTGGTTGTGGTTTGACTGGCAGGACCCGATCAAGCCTTGGTCGGGCTTGGGAACCCCTTGTGACAAGAATGACCAGAAAATCTTCGCGTCGGCCTCCAAGGTTCAGGTGGGAGATGGTCTTCGGGCCTCTTTCTGGGAGTCAGCTTGGCTTGATGGCATCAGGCCCAAAGATATTGCTCCCAAAATTTACGACATCTCCAAAAAGAAGAATTCTTCCGTTCACAAAGCATTGCTCAATGGCTACTGGATATCCCAGGTGAATGTTGCCTCGGGCATCTCCTCTAAGCACATCGTCCAGTTTTGTCGCCCTTTGGGAAAGGCTCGCCCACATCCAGTTAAACCCGGACAGGCCAGACTCAATCACTTGGAAACTCACCACTAATGGCCATTATTCCGCAGCCTCGGCATACAGGGCTCAGTTTTTGGCTTGATGGACACGGATATGAATCAAAATGTGTGGAAGAACTGGGCGCCCCCAAAGTGTAGATTTTTCGCTTGGCTTGTTATCAACAATAGAATTTGGACGGCTGACAGACTCCACCGTCGTGGGTGGCCGAATTGCAATCTCTGCCCGCTTTGCCAACAAGTCCAGGAATCGGCGGCACATCTCCTTTTCTAGTGTCGGTACACCATTCGAGTTTGGGGCATGATCAAAGCCTGGCTTGCCCTTCATGATTTACAGCCAGGCGAGTGGGTTGCTCTGGACTCAGTTAAGGATTGGTGGAGTCAGAATGCCACAAAGCAGACTCCGTCAAGAAGGCCGCTTGTCTCACTGATGATGCTCATCTCTTGGGAAATTTGGAAGGAACGTAACGCGAGAGTTTTCCGCAATGCTGCAGTACCGGTGGGAGTGTTGGTCGCCAAGATCAAAGAGGAGTGCTTTCTTTGGAGCTTTGCGGGAGCAAAATATTTGAGTAACACTATGCCGCGAGAGTAATGTGTTGTATTCTGGCCTATGGCCTTCATCTGTAAACCTTCTCTCTTAATCAATGAAAATGGCAAATCCTTTGCCTCGTTTCAAAAAAAATAGTGCATAATGGTTAGGCAAGTTGATACTTCTCATCTATTCCCTCCGTTCCGATTTACTCGTCGTGGTTTTAGTTCAAATTTGATATGCAGGCTTCATTGATCAAATTTCTCACTGGATCACCCAAGCACACCAACTTGCTGATCACTAAGAAATTAAGGGCCCATTTGCAGTTCGGTTTTGCTGCCCAAACCGGTGTAACTTACAAGCCCAACAAGACATTCTTCTGAACAAAAGATATGAGCTTTGTCAACCATTTGAGTGCGAATACCAAACATGAAAACCTCGACGCGTGTACTGAAGATCTGGTCAATTCATGACTATATATAGATTGAAGTAGCTAACTACTGAATACAAATTTCAGAACAGAACAAATATTTGCACGGTTGGGTCTGGTAAAATCACAAGTACCATGAACATGATCATTAAGAAAGCACCAGGTCATAAATCGGTAATACAACACTGCTGAAGTCTTAGGGCATCTCCAGCCGCGCCCCCAACAGGCCCTCCCCAGGCGATTTTGCCGCGCCGGCGCCGAAAAAAGGCCCCAGTCGCGCCCCCAGAAGCCTGTTTTTCGCCGGCTCGGGCTAAAACTGGTGCCGGCGGACCCAGGCCGAACCCGGCGCCCTGGGGGGCGCTTGGGGAGCCGGCGCAAGCGAAAAAGGCGCGTGGGCCCGCACTGGAGGCGACCCGAGGGCCTTTTCCTGCCGTTTCCTTGACGCTTTTCTCGCTCCTCTCCCGCGCGCTCGGCTTCCTCCCGCCATTCTCCCCCTTTCTCCCGCCAAACCCCGCTCGCCTTCCGCCGCCATGCCGCCGAAGAAGTACTCCATGCCGCACGCGGCGGCGACCGCGACTGGCGCCGTGACCCAACCGAAGCAGAGGAAGCTGAGGGCGCCGCCATCGAAGCCACTGGGCCTGTCGAATGCCGAGTGGAGGGTGGAAGTTCAGCGGCGAGAAGCAGTCACCGCCGACAGGCGGAACAGGGCCATAGCCAAGAAGGCCCGCGACAACGCGGCGCGCGCGGCGGCGTCTTCCTCGTCGGCCGAGGCGGGGATGAATCCACCCGTCGTCAGCCACGCCCAGTACGCGCCCTGGGGACAGCAAGGCGCCGGATGTCCATGGGGTTCATCGTCGCCCGGCTACGCCGACGGCGACGCGCACGGCGGGTTCAACCCAAACGTGACCTTCCCCCATGGTCACCCCGCTACGCGCACGCCCTCGCCCGCCTTCGTCGGTGTGCAGTACCCCCCATACAACTACTCGCCGCCCGCCGCCTACGCGACCACACCAACGCCCCATCTCTACCGTGGTCCGCTACCCTTCTCGCACCTCGGCGACGCCGACGACACGGGAGCCGACATGGACGACATCATCGCGACAGGGTCGGCCGCGGCCGCCTCGTCTCCCGGGTTCGCCACCCAGGATGAGGTAGTGGACCTCAACGGCGACATGGAGGCCGAGATCGGCTACGTCTACAGTGACGACTCCTGTTCCGACGAAGGGGCGCCAGAAAAAGAAGCGGGCCGCTAGGTCGGGCGAACCGCGCATCAAGTGGACATCCAAGGAGGAGGAATGCCTCGCCGAAGCGTGGAAAGTCGTCTACCTCGACCCAACCACCGGCGCGAACCAGAGCCTCGAGACGTACTGGGACCGCATCAAGGCCGAGTTCGACGAGCGGAAGCTTGTCGACCCCTACTTCAAATGCGTCTACATGCAGCGCGGGTCCAAGGCGATGGCGAACCATTGGGGGCGTATCCAGTTGGCGTGCAACAAATGGCATGGGATCGTCGAGGAGGTCGCGGCTCAGCCGGAGAGCGGCGCCAGCATTGAGGATCAGGTACGCACGCCGTTCGCCCGCACATCTTCGTCCCCTACGCCCGCTGTTCGCCAACTGTTCGTCCGTCCGCGCAGCTGCTGCGTATGTTCGCCATGTACCGGGGCGACAACCAAGACGCCAACTTCAAGCACCTCCACGTCTACAAGCGCATTGACAAGTGCAAGAAGTGGGCGGAAGTCCTGCGTGCCCTCGACAAGGCCAAGGAGACATACAAGCCGGACGCCACGACTCCGGGCGCGTCGGAGGGGAGGCCGGACGGCCACAAATTGGCCAAGAAGGGGAAAGACGTCGACGCGGCAACCGCGCGAGTGCAGGAGTCCATCGAACATTGCCTCGCCGACACCCAGGCCCGGGCCGTCCTACGCGAAGAGAAGACCGAGGCACGGTGGTCGGCGCTAATGAAGAACAACGCCATCAAACTCGACCTGCTCCGGACGAACGTCGCCGCGAAGAAGAGGAACACCTACATGGCTTTCCTGATGGGCGGGGCGGACATGCTCCAGAGCAACGACGAGAAGCTCAAGGCGTGGTACCTGGTGCAGCGCGACCTCATCCTGAACGAGCTGCCGACGGCAACGCCGACGACGCCCACGACGCCCACGGCCACACGGACGCCAAGCCCGAGCGAAGCCTCTACATCGCCGCCCAGCAGTGTCGAAGCCGCGCCGACGCAGCCCAACACCGAAGCAGCTCCGACACCGCCGAGCTCGCGCACGCCGACTCCGCCAACACCTGGGACCAACCCCGCCGAGTGAACCGACCCCGCCGAGGCGGCGGCGCTCTGTTTTTTTGTAACGCCAGACTACGCCCGATCGCCGGATTTGCGGCGTCTTTTGAGAGCGGGAACGACCAAGTTTGAATATACCGCGTCTTGGGGCCCGATCGCCGAATTTGCGGCGTCTTTTGAGAGCGGGAACGACCAAGTTTGAATATACTGCGTCCTGGGGCCGGCGCGTAGGTGCGTGACTGGGAGCTAGCTCGCCCCAGAGGCCGAACTAGCGCCGGCACGCCCCCAGGATGTTCAATTTAGTCGCCCTGGGGGGCCAAACGGCTGGAGATGCCCTTATATATCAGCATTAGGTCTCAGCCATGTCGAGATGCCACAGAATCGTGTGCCCACAGAGGTCTCGGCAATTGCTACATATCAGTACCCAAAATACATAGAGGTCATAATCACAGGACATTACAGATACTGATCAAACTACTAAAAAGTTCCAACATCGTATAACTGGTTTGCTTCAGTCCTTAGTCTTAGCATAGGGACTTGGTCGCCTGATTTCATCTTTTTCGCACCTTCACTTGAGCTATGAAATCTAAAACAAAAAAGCTCATAAATAATGACATGTAACGAAATCATTGTAGCAAATAAAAGAACACAAAATAGTTGCTACTTTCCCCACAGCCTTGCTAATTAATACATATTTCAGTATTTTTTGAACACATGAATGATAGATACTTGTATCAAATGAATACAGTTGTGACCACTTTCAACTAAAAACTGTACTTGTTATACATCGCGCGTCGAGCGTGGTAAGCAAACTGATGTCAACATCCACTCAGAAAAAAACTGTACTTTTTTGACGGGCAATGGCAGGAGCACTGCCAAAAGCTCCAAAGCTCCAAAGCTCCAAAGCTCCAAAGGCTCCAAAGTACAGTATAGAACACTGTCGGTGAACCCTGAAGGATTCAGGCAGAGCACCACGAACTCTAACTGAACAAAACAGAGAAAATGGTCCAGGAAAATAAGAAGAAAAGATAGAAGGGCAAGACCTCAAGTGACAGCCTCCCAAAACTTTACTTGCCATAGGATTTTGGTAGTAGTTTTCAATTTCGAATTCTCTTCGTTGTGCCATAAGTAAGCAATAATTGCTCACAGCAGGTGATAAAATGAGTAGGTATTTCGTTGTGACAAAATTGATTATGCTATTGGCACCGACAGTTACTGAAACAGCGGTGATCTCTTTCTATCATCAGCGGTGAGACTCTACTTAAATTTAAATGCAGAGCTTGGCAATTTGCATGCAAGGTGGACACAACTTCAACTGCACAGATGTGCCATTTTTATTTTTTATTATACAAATGTGGTAGATATCATTTTAATTCAAATTATGACATCACAAAAACAGTCAAGCAATTTATTGTACTCTTCTAATCTATTAGAACGCCATTATCACCACTACTAAGCTGAACAAATACCACTCGGCATAAATAACAAACAAAGCAACAGCTTGCACGCGGGGCACAAATATAAATCTGAGGTGCAAATACCTGATGGGATTTTAAGAACTTAGGAAGTTCTGAGGGAAGAAAGGTTTGGAGAAAAGTGGCGTTTCGCCGAACCATGTCAGCGTCTTTGCCCAAGAGGTCTTCCTTTCCATTAATATATGGATGAATTGGAAGCAGCCTTTTGGTACTCATATCAAGAGTAACTACGGAAACCTTGTTAACATGTTCCAGACGCTCTGACATCAGAAAATATACCACATTTGGGTCCTCCATACTTACAACAGGATGCTTCAGAAGTTCATGCGGGAGTTCAGGGTTGATACTCCACAATTCATAGCATGTGATGAAGAAAAGCATATCCCACTCCATGCCACCACTCTGTGTTATCCTCAAAGCGTAGTAGGCGATAGTGAAACCCTCCTTGTCACCAGAGCCTAGTGGATCAATAATGTTACTATCCTCACAGACTACATCAACAAACCTCAGCTCATCACAACCCATGCTGCCTTTGGTTACACCCACAACGCGGCTGGCCTCCTGAAATCTCAATGGAGGTTGATGTAAGAAGGGCTCGAGTATAGGTAGCCGGAGATAAAAAATGTCAGGCTTTTGTTTGAACACCTCACAGAATATGATACCTCCCCCACCGTAATTAACCCAACACAAATACTTGTTGAACGGAACCACTCTATCGGTTCTCCAATTTTCCAAATCAGATCTTTCATGCCCTTCGCACTGGATCGGCAGCCACTTCTCACTCTTCCATTCGTGACGACGATTGCTTACTTTGGAGCGGAGGACACACAGCTCAGCCTCAATCTTGCCCCACTCGTCGTTGGATCTACGGAAGTTCAACTGCGCCAAGGCGAATTCTTCTTCTCCGCGGCACAAGATGCTAACGGGGTTAAGATCAAACGAGCGCGTCGTGGTCACCTTCTTCCCATCCCTCCAATCCAAGAGCCCAGGTATGTCACACTTGGGGATCTTTTGGAGCAGCAGCGACCGCTGGGACGGCGAGGATTGAGCTCCGCAGATGAAGTGGTCCTGTCGGAAATCCACGAAGGGGGCCTCGCGGATGATTAGAGGTTCTGGGGTAAGCCTGAACAGGACGAGATTGCGGTGTGCCGCTACGAGAACGCACTGAGAGCCTTCCTTTGGGCCGCCCGGCCACTGCAGGTAGAGGCGGGAGATGCCCGGGGGCTGGAGAACGAGGAAGGCGACGGAGAAGCTGCCGCCGTGCGAGCTGGTGCCGTCGGCCTTGATGAAGGGCGCGCCCTCGCTGTCCGGGAAGGACTCCCTGCAGAACACGAAGCGCTCGAGCATCATCCAGTCGGGGAGGAAGGCGGCCATGGCTGGAGATTTTCTTTTGCGGGGTTGCAGGGGGGCGAGGCTTGCCTGCTCCCTTCGGCCTCGTTCGGTTACGCTACGCCCACCCCCGCGTGGTTTTGAGTCCAATCCACGGGGTTCGGGGAGGGCGGCGGCCATGGGAGCTCCTATGTGCCGCTTATTGCGGCACACAGTCGGACTTCGCACAGGGGACCGTCAGACTGGGCCGGCCCACCTGTAGCGTGTAGCGGGGCGTGTGCGGATACTGTAGCGGGTAGCGGGCGAATAATCCGCAAAAAATTACACGCGGCTGGAGGACGAGGAAGGCGACGGAGAAGCTGCCGCCGTGCGAGCTGGTGCCGTCGGCCTTGATGAAGGGCGCGCCCTCGCTGTCCGGGAAGGACTCCCTGCAGAACACGAAGCGCTCGAGCATCATCCAGTCGGGGAGGGAGGCGGCCATGGCTGGAGATTTTCTTTTGCGGGGTTGCAAGGGGGCGAGGCTTGCCTGCTCCCTTCGGCCTCGTTCGGTTACGCTACGCCCACCCCCGCGTGGTTTTGAGTCCAATCCACGGGGTTCGAGGAGGGCGGCGGCCCGCTTATTGCGGCACACAGTCGGACTTCGCACAGGGGACCGTCAGACTGGGCCGGCCCACCTATAGCGTGTAGCGGGGCGTGTGCGGATACTGTAGCGGGCGAATAATCCGCAAAAAATTACACGCGGTGCAGTGGGATCGAACCATGGACCTCCTGCTACGCTCTATAGTTCATATCCACTTGACCTAATATCAGTTACTGACTGATACAACAGCGCAAACCTTTATGAAGGAACGCCAACAACAGATACGATTTTTAAAAAAGTTCAAACGCAACCTTTTCTCTGCAAACGTGCTTATTATTTTGAAACGTGATTTCCTAAAACATAGTAAATAGTATTTCCGAAAAAGAATTACTATTTTTTAAAAACCCAAACAGTTTCCTAAAACATAAAATATTTTTTGGAAAATCTGAACTATTCTTGAAAACATCAACATGTTTTTAATCATTGAACAATTTTCAGAAACGGGAACATATTTTCAAAACTTTGAGCGAAGTTTACAAACACGAATATTTTTTTAAACTTTGAACAAATTCAAAAGTACAAACATTTTTAGGATCTACGAACAAAAATTGCAGTCGGGTACATTTGGAAAATCCGAGAAAAATTGGAGAAGAGCGAACATTTTATGAAAACGGGAACATTTTAAACTCCTGAACAAAATATTAAAACGCGAACAATTTTTGAATACACCAACATTTTTTTATACTCCGGAACGAATTTTGTAAATGGGAACATTTTCTGAAAATCCTGATTTTTTAAAAAAACTCAAAAAAAATTGAAAACACGAACATTTCAAACTCCTGAACAAAAATATAAAAAGGTGAACAATTATTGAAAATACGAACATTTTTCTAAAGTCCGGAACAAATTTGGAAATGAGAACATTTTATGAAACTCTTGATTTTTTTTAAAACACAAACATTTATTGAAAATGGGAACATTTTAAACTCCCAGACAAAAGAAAAAACGCGAACAATATTTGAAAACATGAACATCTTTTTAAACTCCAAAACAAATTTTGAAAATGGGAACATTTTCTGAAACTCTTGAATTTTTTTTAAAACACATACATTTATTAAAAACGGGAACAATTTTTGTAACTGGAACATTTTTTGAAACTCCAAAAAAAATGAAAACATGAACAATTTTTGGAATTTGTGAACAGTTTCTAATTCATGAACAAAATTAGAAATTGGGAACATTTTTTGAAGTTTCCAAACTTTTTTGTATATGTGAACAAATTTTCATAACATGAAAAGTTTCAAATTTGTGAACAAAATTCGATATTGGGAGCATTTTCTAAAGTTCCTGAAGATTTTTTGAATTTGCGAACAATTTCCAAAACATGAGCACTTTTCAAATTGTGAACAAAATTTAGAAAAGGAACATTTTTGAAATTCCCCAAAATTGTCGACTTTGTGAACAGAAAACTAAAACGCGAACACTTTTAGAATTTCTGTGAATTTGTTGAAAACGAAAAATAAACTCGAAATAGGAAATAAAAAAGAAAGAAAGGAAAAAGAGAAACAGAAAAAGGAACAGAAAAACGATAGAAAAGAAAAATAAAAAAGAAATAGAAAAACCAGTTCATGAACCGTCTAGAAGGTTCCCAAAACCGGAAAAACCGGCTGGAACCTTCCAGAAGGTTCCCAAAGTAAGAATGGTTGAACACACGCGTAGCTTCTAAACGGGCCGGCCCGTCTTGATCGAAGGTGTGCGGTACCCCGACATTTTGACGCAGCGAGCGGCAAATAGGGTATTCCGGCGGCCATGGCTGGAGAGAATTTCTTTTGCGGGGTTAAACAGGTCGGGCTAACCAGGCCGGTCTGTGAGCACGCCGGCATGGCCCATGATGAGCCAGGCACGGCACGTGCCTAAACGGGCCAGGCGCCGACACGCGGCATGCCCTAGGCCGTGCTTGGACTGCTAGCATGAGCACGCGAGCCGGCACGGCACGACTCAATTATGGTTTATTTATTTATTTTTTCTATACATCTCTAATGGCCCAACAGGTAAAAATAGGCAAAAAACGCCCAGTGCGTCAAATAGCAGAAACTAGCGGGCCTAGTGTGCCGATGGACCGGCCTGATTAGTAGTTGGGCCATGCCTGGGCTGCGACCTCCCGCCCGTGGGCCGGCACGGCACGGCCCGACCCGCGGTAAACGTGCCTGGTACGACACGGCACGCGACGGCATGACTAATAGTCGGGCCGTGCTGTGCCGGCCCGTTTGACCAGGTATGTTAAACACGCGGAAGGAGTATAACCAGCGAACGTTCGCCAACATCTCATACTCGAACGTCTGTTTGCTTTGAAGCGTAAGAGTAATGCGGGTAGGTCAATCGAATTGAGTGAGATAGCGAGTTCTTAGCTGGTTTTGTAACTTTTTTGCGGGAAAAACTTCCTATTTATGAATCTTCAATCATGACAACACAACGAACATTGAAAAAAGTAACTAACGCCCACACGTGCGGCAGCTTGCATATCACCCATACGCCTCCTTTAACACTCATTTTGCCACATGTGAACAGATGACATCAGCAGGAATCTTTTTGGTTTTCGGCTTAAAAATGTTTTATCTCCTAATTAAAAAATTGAATTAGAAATTTGTTTTCACCATTAAATCTGTCTCGATGAGATCCTCAAAACTAGACCTCATGTTGATATGTTTCGACGAATTTTTTTCCCCAAAAGTTGCCATGATATTTACACTGTAGTTGCAGTGCTTAAACTAAAGTTGCCATATGGCAATTTCAGTTTGTAGTGCATGGCAATTTTAGTATTTTGATGATGAAAACTCCAGTATTTTGATCATAAAAATTATTTTTTGTATGAACCATGGCAATTTTAAGTGCATGTATCATGGCAATTTTAGTTTATGGTTCATGGCAAGTCTAGTTTCTTAATTTCCTATTTTATAATATGTCAAAATTTAGTTTTAAATGTAGAAAAAAATAGCTGAAACATATCATGACAACTTCAGTGTAAACACCATGGCAATTCATGTGCACTAGACATGGCAACTTTTAACCCCAAAAAAATTCATCAAAATATATTGATATGAGATCTAGTTTGGGAGATCTTGTCGCAAGGGATTTAATGGTAAAAACGGATCTTCAATTGGATTTTTCATTTAAGAGATAAAATATTTTAAAAACTGCAAATCAAAAAAGATTCCCACATGCATGCATGCGGTGGCATGGCGCAGTCTGTGTATTATAAGGCGTGTGGGCGGGTTTGGCTCCCACCACACGTGTGGGTGTTAGCGTTGTCCATAAAAATTCGGAAAAACTAATGCCCACATATGTGGGCGTTTGCAGATCGCCCACACGCCTCCATCACACTCATTTTGCCACGTATGAATAGATGACATCAGCAGAAATCTTTTTGGTTTTCGGCTTAAAAATGTTTTATCTCCTAAATAAAAAGGCAAACTAAAATCCGTTTTCACCATTAAATCCGTCTCGACGAGATCTTCAAAACTAGACCCCATGTTGATATGTTTCAACGAATTTTTTTTGCCCAGAAGTTGTCATGATGTTTACACTATAGTTGCCATAGTGCTTAAACTAAAGTTGCCATATGGCAATTTTAGTTTGTAGATCATGGCAATTTTAGTTTTGATGATGGCAATTCCAGTACTTTGACCATGAAAATATTTTTTTATTGAACCATGGCAATTTTAAGTGCATGTATCATGACAATTTTAGTTTATGGTGCATGACAAGTCTAGTTTCTTAATTCTCTATTTTATAATATGTTAAAATTTATTTTTAAATGTAAAAGAAAATAGTTGAAACATATAATGGCAACTTCAGTGTAAATATCATGGCTATTCATGTGCAATAGACATGGCAACTTTTAACCCAAAAAAAATTTCGTCGAAATATATCGATATGAGATCTAGTTTTGAAGATCTCGTCGTGAGGGATTTAATGGTGAAAACGGATCTTCAATCGAATTTTTCATTTAAGAGATAAAATATTTTAAAAATAAAAATCCGAAAAAAATCTCGCATGCATGCATGCGATGACGTGGCAATCTATTTGCATTAGAGACGTGTGGTGCGTCTTCTTTCCTGCCACACGTGTGACATTTATCGACGTCCTAAAAATTACATCTAGATCAGTAGATTACTTAACGGAAACCTTATACGTGTCAAAAAAAGATGATGTCACGAACAATATGACCTTTTCTGCCACGAGAAACAAGTTTCGGTCATACAGATGCAGGATGGCTTGTGCCCAAACTCTACAAACAAGTTTGGGATGGGCTACGGGGTGGCGTCGGCTGAGCATTCCACTGCTATATATCACGCTGATGCCATGAAATCATCAAGAACTTAACTCTAAAAAGAAATCATCAAAAAATTTGCTCTCGCATGCCCTGGAGTGAAATTCGAATATGCATTGTGGGTCACGCGGGAAGAGTAGAAGGAGAAGGTTCATTCTCTTGCATTGCCTAATAACAATGGGCGAACGTATGTTGATATATATGCAAAAGGAAAAAAAGTATGCCGACATAGCTTTTCTGACCGACGAGGCTTCAAACCGTTTGTGGGCC